TCAGATCTCGGGGAAGAACGGAGGAGGGAGAAGATAGAGCGGGACCTTCTTTACTTCCACCCTCCTGCTGTAAACATGAACTCGACACCCCCTTTCCCCTTCTTCTAATGATGGAGGTATGGAACCGAAAACTTTTGGAAAATAAGGCGTCTGTGTGTTTTCGTTTTTTTCCATTTTGAAAAACAAAGAATTGTCGATCGATGGGCAGAATATTGTTCATTCAACCCGCTCATTCAAAACTAGCTCTTCTCAAAGCTTTGCTCAAAGGAAATCACTGGGTTATAAAATTAAAGCAGATAAGCCTTATATTATCATTGAGATTTTTTAGCTTTTATTATTTTTAAATGCAATTCAAACTAACCTTCAAGCAATAATTATTTTACACATTCTGATTAGTAATTGTTTATTTATCAAGTTATTTTAAATATTTCTAATTATTTCAAAATGTATATACTATGGCAGTTTTACAATTTATTTGTTTGTATTGAATCAATTTATTAAATTGTTTCAAGGTGGCCGGCATGTTCAGGCATTTGTCTTTTTTTATTTAGATGATGCTGCCATCTTGCTGATCAGTAGGGAAACTGTAGCAAGAGAGGAAAATTATTACCTTAAATACATGTACCCGAAAAAAATACCCTAAAATAAGATGTAATGTAAAAAGACGCAAAATGTTGTGAGTTCTCTTTTCAACCCTAAATATTTATTGTTTATAAATACTTCTAAAATAAGTACCGTAGCGTGATTATTCGACGAATAGATATCTATAATATCTATCATTATCATTTATCTATCTGTGTAGAGATTATTCTAGAACTGCAGTTCTTCATTGCACTAAAATATTTTAAGTCTTTCATGGTCAAAAGTAATAAGTACAGCGTTTCTATGATGTGTTCAGAATATGGAAATTCGTCAGTTTATAGTAGATATGTATAGTTTGACGTTAACAAAATAAAACGTTGGTTACCATTGTATATTTCTGTATGGAACTTATGACACTTGTTGCAGAACATACCTCCTCGACGACGAGCGCGTAATTCTCACGAATAAATGGGATTTTAACTGGAAATTACGAATTGTAAGACGTTTAAGCCTGGAGGAGGCAAATTTATACGGATAAGTGAGTGAATCAAGATGAAATTGTTTTCACCGCAGTTTTTCTAAGTTTATTTAAACCGTCTTTTCATACTCTTTTGATTTATACACGGATTTAAAACTATTGTTTCAAATACAGTCAAAAGAGAACGGAAAAACCGTTGGGCTCATAAAAATAGAAATAACACGGCGAAACTGTGCCAGGTTAAGAAAGACAGGTCTCTCGTTCATGGAGAACGGGTCGAAAGGGAAAAGGCCATACTGTCAAGACAACGCATAGGTCATACTAGAACAACTCACGGCTACAGGGATTTTTAAATGTTTATAGTGTTTCTGTTCTGTTTATCGGAATGAAAGTACTTTATTAGCGTTGTAGGAAGGGGTTGTTATTTATTTCTCTTATTTTTGTTATTTATCTTATTTTTTGGGGGGTACAGGCCAGGGGTGTCTAGTAAAAAGCTGAAAACACTTTCTAACTTCGGCGACGTATTGGTACTATTTTAGTATGTTTCTCAGGCCTAGGAGTAGTTAAAGTATACCGTGTTTTTTGTTTGTCAAAGATACAATTTTAAAGAACTAGGTTTCACTCCGTGGGGCGTTCATATGGACTCTACGCCCAAAAAATAACAACTTCATCTGTATTACCCTATTTTTTGACATCTTCATGAAAATCTGTAAATCTTAAAATTCTAATTAAAACAATTATTAATTGCAAAGAAAATTATTATATATGTTATGTCAGTCTATCATTCGGGGAGCCTTTACCTATTATTATATTTATTTTTCATTCACGTTGTTTCCACTAGCACATAACTTTCCCTAAAATATTTATGTTATCACATAATTCCGTCAGTAATATTACATATATTACGTTGTCATATATTAGTGGTTTTTGACACAACTTGTTGGGCATATGTAATAAATTAATAGCCATTTCTGCCTTTGTCCGAAGGATCTCGCTATACGCTGTATTACATTTAAAAATTTATAATATCATAATTTTCTAATAATTTAAATAAATATTCATAATATATTCCTGTGTGTCACATATACAGGGTGACTGGCGATAAGTGTCGAAAATTTCAGGTGTTTCTACTCACCATATGCAACAAAAAACTTCCTATAAACCCCTGTCCAAATCTCAACGGTAAAGAAGTAATTTCAGGTTCTGGGTGTTTTTTAATTTTTCGACTTAATTGCTTATATACTTCATAATTACTGACTATAGAAAAATCTGGTTTGTGCCACCTGAAAGAAGGTTTTTTTATGGCTTTATGTTCTATGCATATTGGCCAATGACAGACATTAGTTATGCGTATTCGTTTTGGAAGGGGGGATGGGTATCGTGAAAAAAAGGCCAGAGGCGACGGCGGGAATTGAACCCACCACCGCGGGGTCTAAGATCCGAGAGTCCCTCACGCTAACCACTCGGCTACCGCGGCCCCAACCTAAAAGAAGGTTAAACTTGCCGTACGGGAACCTATTTACATTGCATAATTGGTGAAAAAATTCTGCACAAAAAATTCAGAGAAAAAAGTTGAAATTTGAAATGTTTTAAAAATGTTGGACTGGTAACTATTAACAACAAACTCCTTGACGATTGCAAATTCCCTCAAAAGTTCTTCATTCAATTAGTTTCCAGCGGTATACCCACCTTTTTGGATTTGGCCTGGAAGGCCCAAAATTTTTGCATTTTGTTGAAAAAAACTGGCTTCGATGAACGGGGTACGTTCAATTTTTCCAGGAAATCCGTCTTGCTCTTGAGTTTCGTGTCAGTTCTTCAATGTTCGATTCAACCAGTTTGCTTTACGTTATTAGCTGTAACTTTCTCAGATTGGTAATTTAAATTATGTCCTTGTTTCTTAATGTAAATCTTGCTGATATGCATTTCATTTATGATTTCTGCAGCGGTAATGCTACTGCTGCAAGAGGGGAATACGAAGCTCGTTTTCTACATTGAGATGTTCCAGCAGATCGCACCTTCCAACAACTTCATCAGAGGCTGAGGGAAACTGGTTCTTTTACTTGAAGAAAGAGGGAAAACAATCAGTGAATTGATGAAGATGAGCAAATTTTACATTTCGTTGCAAACGTATGCGTTTGTAGTTATTAGTTACCAATCCAACATTTTAAAAAAATCCGAATTTCAACATTTTTGTTTTTTTTTCTGAATTTTTCGTGCAGAATTTTTCATCAATTATGCAATGTAAATAGGTTTCCTTACAGAAAATTTAACCTTCTTTCAGGTGGCACAAACCAGATTTTTCTACTGTCAGTAATTCTATAGTTTATAAGCAATTTAGAGGACCTAAATCGAAAAATTAAAAAACACCCAAAACCTGAAATTACTTCTTTACAGTTGAGATCTGGACAGGGGTTTATAGGAAGTTTTTTGTTGTATATAGTGAGTAGAAACACCTCCTGCAATTTTCCACACTTATCGCCAGTCACTTATATCTAATCAATGTTTAATGCGGCTGGATTGTATCCAATTTAGAGGCTTGAGTGTTGCATTGGAGCAATGCAGTCTACTCCAACTAACGCACTCCTCGTTGAATCTAATGTAGAGCCTCTTCACCTAAGAAGAGAACGACGGCAATAAATTTCCTTTCCCGTTCCAATAAAAATGAACACCCTGTTACAGGGTCCCTCAACAGACTTTTCTTGTTATCCTGTACTATTCACAGACGCTCCTATAAAAACAGATCTCTCTTACTCCATACACACAAGCAAATCAAAGAACTCAATTTAAGCAAAGTTGTTCGGTTAGTATGTATACAGGCTCATTGGCTAACAGCATCTCATAAGTCTAACATTATCACTAAAAGTGAAGACGCACTGGAAGCCCTGAAATCAGTGAAAGCTTGCTTTGTAACCGGGAAGAGCCCTGACTTGTTAGTTTTATACTCCGATGGATCCAAATCTCCAAACACAGGTGCGGCTGTGCTTGGCGTGGATTCGAATTACAGGCGCCTTATAAAACTACCTTCGATTTGCTCGATTTTTTCAGCAGAAGCAATTGCACTAAGAGAGGGAACCAAATTTATAGAAAGTCAGGTCCCCGATTCTATGTTCTGACAGCCTTAGTGTCCTCACTGCCCTTCAAAACTCCAACTGACCCAAAGACCCCATCATCGTAGAAATAAAACAACGATTACACGATATAACTACATCTATAACTATATACTAAAGTCTAACTGATGTGGGTTAAAGCTCATGACACAAACCCTTTTAACAATGAAGTGGACCTCTTGGCCAAAGAAGCTGCAGTCACGGGCAACAGCTTCATGAAATATCATCTCAGGACATTCGCTCTCATAATAGACACGTCATCAAAAAGAAGTAGCAAAAAGAGTACGAAAATTCCAAACTCACCAAAGGCAAATATTATGCAGATAATCGTCCCTCCAACTAAAACCGTGGTTTAATAGCATAAACAAACCTAAGAAATTCTTCATTTACATATGCAGACAGTGTCTTAATCATAACAGACTACCCCATCACCTCTATAAGATAGGAGTGAAAAATAGTGAATGTTGTGTGATGGCTCCAGCAGAGCCGACGCAGACCACATTCTACTCGCATGCGCGCTTTGCTCCGTAGGTAGAGAGAGGCTCTATGCCACTTTAATTTCGAAAAGAGTCCCATCTCCGACTAACATGGTCCAAGTTCTGAGATTAGGCGATTCGGATGTTTTAGATGCCGTATACAATATTCTGCCCAGCCTGGACCTGGACATTTAAAGAAGAGAAAAAATACCAGCTGAGATTGGATGAGGGGTCGCTGGGCCGGCGGCGGTCATCCTCGGGTGTCGTTTGGGCACGGTGGCACTCGTCTGTCTCACGGGGAAATAGGTATATGGCCAATGCCGAAAGGTTAGGCAAAAAAAAGTTTAATAACTTGATCAATTTAAATCACATGTTTTTTTTATATAAACACAATTTCAATTTATTCTTATTTATTTCAAATTAAGTTCCACTTTTTTTTCGAAATTTATTTTAGATTGGCCACATATCTCTTTCACATAATCTTGATCCGTCGGAATTACCGAAAATTGCATTGACTAGTTGCGTTCAAATCTTCTTCAGTGCAGATGTAAAACTAGTCCATGTAATTGCCTAAATTGAAGAGGAAGAGCATTTTTCAAGAGGATGTCGATTTGAAAATAGTGATGTGCAATGGTTGTCTTTAAAAAATAATGAAATTATGAATTAAAAATCTCTTCTGACAAATAGTGTAAACTGGCCTAATGATTGAATGCTCGCGGGATTCGAGTTTTTCCATTTCTAGAACATAGCGTTTCATTTCATCTTAGAAACATTTCAGTGATAAATTAGTATTTTGAGTTTTTAGGAGTTTGTTTTCGCAAATCTAAAATGAAAAAAATAGAGACGAACACGCTAACCCAAGGGTCAATATTGCGCAGCGACTTCACCAAGTTCTACGCTCCTTTTATAGGGCAACTTATCGAGCAAATTTACAAATCCGAGGGCTTGGGCAAACACAAATTCGTGCTCGGGGCGAACACGAAGGCCCTGGCGGAATGCAACTACTACTTGTTCTGGGAAGCGGTGAAGAACAGCGTTAAAATACTCCGAGAGGATCTGAAGAAGAAGGAAATCACTGTCACAGTTGAATCCTCGGTGATCACAGACCTGGAAAACGTTTATCTCATCATCAAAGAACTCAACCCGACAGAAGACGAGGAGGCGGTCATCTTTTCTCCACCGGCAACATGTGAAACGACTTCCATGAAATCCACCTTGTCGAAGAAGAGCGTGAAAAAAAGGCCCACCAAGACATCGTCCATCACCAATAAAACGAAAATCGAAAAATCACAACAGACAAAAGTTAAATAATTCTCGCGTGCTTGTAAATTATGTTTGTTGGTCGTATGAATAATTAAAAAAATACACACAGTATGTTACTATTTATATAGTAATAAATAATTATTTATAGATTTTCATCCAGATGTTCGCCATTAATAAATATTAATACAAAGATAGAAGTCATAGACAACCAACCCTGCTTCAATCAAATATATCCACAAAATTATGGGGAATTATGGGGGGTTAAAATTTTTTTTTTTGCATAAATAGTACAAATATATTGACGATATCCTACAGTAGAAAATGAACAGTTTAAAATTTCTCAGATAACGTGACAACTGCATTTCGACATATGCAGAAACCAATGGCAGCTGGCTACATAAGAGCTGCTCAAACCAGACAGACTGAAACAAAATCACACTGTATATATTGGGTTGTCCGGAAAATAATGCAGGATTTTGGTATTAAACAAAAAAAAAGAAACTAGTTACTTTAAAGCAATGTTCTTTAATCAAANATTCATACAAATGAGTAATCCTGTAAACGTAAACAGAATATTTTATATAGATTTTTTTTAATGAAAACTTAAAATCCTGCATTATTTTCCGGACAACCCGATACTAAAAAGAAGTATTGTTCAATGAGAAATGCAAATAAAAACTACAAACAATAAAAAAATAGCACCCAACATGGGTTACAACATAGATTATTGTAAATGGCAGGCTCGCTAAAATAAAAGTAATGAAAAACTAAAAATACATAAAAGTACGGTGAGGCCATGGCCCGTGGAGAATTTGGAAAATGTAACAAAATAATATTAATAAGGTTGCGAATAGGTCACACTCGTCTCACGCACGGTCACCTCTTACGGGTAGAAGTCAAAAACGCTGCCCACTCTGTGGAAACCCGGTAACGAGGAGACCCTATTAAAGGTAATAAGTTAAGAGAGTACCGAGAACGGTGTGACCTGCCATCTAATCTGGAAATAGTTCTTAAGCATAACAGTGACTTCAAAGATAATCTTATTAGGTACTTAAAATTAATAAATGCGTATGAACTATATAACCAACCAGACGTGGTATATCTCCATTTTTCAGTGTGAATGTATTTATTAGCGTGGGTGATGAGGTATGTCTGAGAGTGGCTGTGACTGAATAGTAGCTCACAGGCCCGCAAAATTAGTTTCGGTAATTATATATTTGTTGTGTGATGTGAGGGACAGGTCACCGCTATCAAGGTTGTAGTAATACCGAGATGCTGTGACCTCTCCAATATGAATGTATTTATTAGCGTGAATGTTTTTGTGTAAGTGGACGTGGATATCGAGGAATATCGAGTACTCCACAAGCCCGTCAAAAGGAAAGAAGTCTAATGGATAAATGAAATTCTGTATATACTGTATGAATGTATTTATTAGCACGAATGGAACGAAGTCGGTAGGATTATGACTTTACTACCGACTTTTTATTTAGTTGTAGGGACAGTTGTGCACCTGTACTCTCAGCCCTATCAACTGTAGATTAGGTAATAATTTTCTTAGCGTGAGTGGGTATTGTTAGTGAGTCTGTAAATATTGAAGTATTTTTAACAAACCACGTGTGGGATGGTAGGACGAGCAACAAGACTCTGTTTGATCGGTAGGAAACAAAATGAAAAGAAGAGATATAGTGAATGAGATAGAGATAAGGTTGAAATGAAACAAAGAAAAATGCGAGAAGCTTATATACGTGAGGTGCCGGCAATGATCCTAGTAGTTAGCCGGCCGAAAGAGAAAAAATGCACCGTTTATATTTACTTGATTCAGAAATAGATGTAAAAACAACCAATCTAATTAAAAGATTAGGCATAAAAACTCCAAAAGAAAATAAATAAAATTGGAATACTCCTGAGCAAAAATATGGACCAGACCAAAACGGCATGTACAGGGTGTCTATTCAATTCGACACCCTGTTTTCTCAAAATCGAAAGGTTATATGGCACAAATTTTTAAATGGAAGCCCGTTGAGTATCAACTTTATTTTTAAATTATTCAGAAATCGTGAGATGCTCTGGTGTGATGAAGGTTTCGGAAAAACATTTTCTTTATCGTGCCAACGTTTCGATCTTTATTGAGATCATCTTCAGGGCCTGGGATTTACAAACATTGTTTACATTTAACAAATACATGTAGGATGTGGAAAAATTGAATTTATACAATGCAAAATATATTTTTTTATATTCAATCAAAGTATTTCTACTCACTCAAAGTGTTTGTCTTCTGTGTAATTTATTTTTTAAAATGAGACTACCAAGAATTGGGCATGTCTGATCTGTTCATCTAGTATGTTCTTCTCTATTTGTCAATATTTTTTTTCTCTCTCTCTTTCTTTTTCTCTCTCTCTTTCTTTTTCTCTCTCACTCTCTCCCTTTCTCTCCCTCCCTCCCTCTCTCTCTCTCTCTCTGTCCCTCTACATTCCGATTTTCAGTGTAATATACCTATTAATATATCGCTCTCACTAAAAATCGTTAATATTTTCTTATGGGGGGTTTCTCTTTCTCACTCTCTCTCACACAAAATCTTTATCTCTCTTCTTTTCTTGCTCTCTCTCTCTCTCTTTCTCTCTCTATCTATCTATCTATCTATCTTTCTCTCTTTCTTTCTTTCTCTATCTTTTCCTTCCTCTCTCTATCTTTTCGTTTCCTTCTCCCTTTCGAGTTAAGGTGCTGTGGAGAGTGAGATGTTGGTGTACTAAGGAGTTTTGAAATTTTTCTGAGAACATTTGCTTGAAAGGATTGGATGCGTTGGATATTCGATGACTTGGCAAAACTCCAATTTCCACTTCGTATTCCCAAAGTGTAAAATCAAAGTAAAGTCATGTGAGTTAGTGTTGACGGCAAGACGGATTTTGGTCCTTGAAGTCTTAGTAGTTGTCCAAGTCTTGATTAAGTTGTCGTCTGAGAGAGTTTTGTGTGAGGATTACTGATCAGTCTGATATCTAGGTATAGTCCTAAGAATTTGATTGGGGTGTAAGTCGGTATCTCTTTGTTGTTGATGTACAGTGAAGGGCAAAACTGTTTCGATGTAACGTACACTGAATACTTTTTTCTTTATTCACTCTTGTCCTCCACTTTTTGCACCAGTCTTTGACAATCTCTTGGGTGATGGAGGTAGCTTGGATAGAAGTCGAGTTAAAGGAAAAAATTGCGGTATCGTCCGAGTAGGTGGTGATGATAGTATTATGGTAGGTAGGTCAGCTGTATAAATTATATAAAGGACGGGGCCAAGAATGTTCCCTTGTGGGACGCCGGCTTGCATCCTTCTGACTTCCGAGAACCCGTTGCCGCACCTCACTTCAAAGCAGGATAGGATAGATAGGATTTCAGAATAAGGAAGCGTTTAAGTTTATAAAGAATGGTGGCCTGCCAAACCCAATCAAAAGGCTGTGTTCCATTTAGGAACGCACCCAAGCAAATATCCTTTACGTATAACATCTCTAGAGCAGAAGCCGTTGCCGAATCTTGGAATTTTGTTGGATCCTGCAATGCTGAGGATTTGGTCATCAGGAATGATTTTTTGAGTTTCTAGGATGGGAGTTAAGCTCTTTAAAAGGAGTCTTTCAAGGATCTTGGACATTGAAGGAAAAAGGGTTGGATCTGTAAGACGATTTGTGGTTGGGAGGATAAGTAGGAGTGAGAATAAGCAGTCGAAAACGATGAGAAAAAGCAAATCTTCAGGTTCTTAATCCCACAACTCTAAGAAGATAGCTAAAGTTAATAACATAAAACCCCGTCTGCGTCAAACTGATATCCTCGTGACAAATCAGTTTAAATATAGGTCCAGCTTATTTGTAAACCCACTAAATATTAAGGTATAATATCAATAATTATTTAAAAAATATTAAAATTGCTAATACTGTTATTTCAAAGAACAAGAATAAACAAGGTCATTGACTAAAAAGCTCGAGTTTAGAGATACAATATTTCGCTATTACTTTCCTTGGGTCTGTTTAACAAAGAGCGTGGGCGTTTTTAGAGAAAAAAATCTCACCGTGGGAAAATGCTAGAACTGTTAATAAAGTGCGGGACAATGTCATAAAAGCGAGCCCGGGGGCGGATGTAATATGTAAGGGTGGACAGGAGTGTAGGCGTCCCAACTACTTGACCGCTTTCAGGAAAAACGTTACGCAAGTGGCATTTATTCACTTTATATCCGGTTATTTGTCTTCAAGGTGGAATTTGTGAAAATAATTAATTCCGGGTGTTGAACCCCTTTCTCAGGAATGTTTATACATTTTACACCTTTGAAACTAATCGTTAAACCAAAAGTGTCGTTAAATTCGTATAAGAACCATAAATGGTTTTATTTTACTTTTTTCATTTCGTTTAAACAAAAACATATTTTTAAACCCATTTATTTAAATTTATTTGGGTTATTAAAAGATGCCATTATTAGGTGAATGGTGAAATAACACTTCCTCGCACAAATGAAACAATTTGCAGCACACCAACGCAATTATTTGTTTTACATCTTTAACCGATAAATGTTTTATCATTGAATTTTTTTATTATTTTCATTATATTTTGTGGTCTATTGACCAAATTATTTCTTTCCATTGATTAATCTTTTTATGTAAGGTTTTGGTCGAAATGAAAAATCTAGTATCACCAGCGGGATTCGAACCCACGACCTTCGGCTCAATACGCCGCTGCTCTACCACTTGAGCTGTCGTCACTAGAACTCTCAACATGACACTTCGTAATGAACATCTACACAAAAACAAACACTGAGTGAGTACAAATACTTTGATTGAGCCTAAAGTTTCTATAATTGTATTAATTCATTTTTTCACATCTTACATAAATTTGTATAAAATAAGCAATGTTTAGAAATCCCAGGCTTTGAATCTCAATAAGATCGAAACGTTGACACGATAAAAAAAATGTTTTTCTGAACCGTACTTCACACCAGACCCCATCTCACGATCTCCAAATAATCATTAACTAACGGTCACCTAACACCTCACATTAATTTTTGACGAAATTTGCAATAAGTATTAATGTATATGTTGTTAATAGATTCAAAACAATTATCGGTGGTTGTTACCC